GAATAATAATGAGTGTAAATAATTTTTCAGACATTTAAGTATAACAATAAATAGAGGAGTAGTAATTGATAGATTTATTTTTTGTACAATAATAAGTATAGAAATATATGAAAAATTGTGGAAAAAAGATAAATAGAATCTTTGGCCAAAGAGAGGTGCAACTTCATTTCTCTATGAGATTTTTAAGTATAACAATATGTAATAGCTATAAGAAATGTATCATAGATAATATACTTTCAAGCATGACAAGATTTTAGAATATTGAAATCAAAACAGTACATTAATGAATCTTTAAAATATTGGAAGCATTCAAACTTTATACTAATATGATCATCTCTCTTGATAAATCTTTCAACATAAGTAAACTTCCTTCTTCATTTTGATGATCTTGTACTAAATTAATGTGAACATCTCTTTATGATGAATCTTTGAAGAATATATCTTTGATCTTCATCAAAGTGAAGAACATATCATGTCACTATCTTTTCTATGATTTCTTATGGAAAAGATGAAGAATAATTTTTATTTTTTTTAAACTACACTATTAGAAAGAAAGAATGAGAAAAAAACTACACTAATAGAAAGAAAGAATGAGAAAAAAACTACACTAATAGAAAGAAAGAATGAGAAAAATGAAAAATGAATATTCAACATCTCCATGGATGATTGTAATTTATAGATTTGATAATCCATAAGAATAAGTTGAAGAGACATGTTATTTAAGTAGAGAATATGAATAGATGGAGGTTTTTTGTAACTCATTAGATTAAATTAGAATAGTAAATATGATTATTTTTTTTATTTAATAAATAAAATATTTAATGAAAAAAATTAAGAAAAAAAATCTCAAAAAAGGAGAAAAAAGAATGGAGGCCATAGAGAGGTGCCACATCACCTAGTCTATGTTTCTCCTTTATATTATATATATATTTCTCTAGTTAATAAATGAAATTACATGCAATAGTAAAACGAAGAGATGAGAGAAGAATATAAACCGACGAAAAACTTATCTCATCAAATAAACTTGCTTGCCTTTTCATCTTTCACTATTAAAATATCAATTTATGAACATTTATAACATCAAACCTTTTTCATTTTCCATATATATATTTGAGCAGCATCAAATCTTTTTCATTGTCCACAATTCACATATTGCCTATATGAGATTTTCTTAAGGCGTAGTCTCTATAATTTCTACATGCATAGACTGCTTCAGTCATATGTGGATTCTTTTATCTCAAGGAAATATTTCACAAATAACATGGTAATGCACTGTGACTAATTAATTCAAACTTTATTAGTTTTTTTTCTATTATTTTATTATATTTTCTCTATGTACTCGAGTCGAGGATCCTTGAAAATCGTCCATAGAAATAGAGACAAAATTTACATCTACTTTATCTTACTCAAACTCCACTTGATATTCTATGAATGAGCATGTTATGTCACTGTTTGTTTTAAGTACTTTTTACTGTTACAACTTTTTGAAGAAAAAAAAACGGAAGAGGATAAATTAACCTTCTCACCTTCCTCTACCTAAACTTCTTCATGCAGTTAAGTATATTTACTCACCTTTCAGATTTTTAAAAATGAGTAAAAGTAGAAAATTTAGAAAATAAAACAATAAAATGTCCAAAAAAAAATGAAAAAATAAATAAATATGAATGAAGGTCATAGAGAGGTGCCACATCATCAGCTCCTCTATGATCCTATATATGATGGGTTAGACTTCGAAACCGAATTCAATCACTAGTTCATATTTATGAGTATATAGAGTCATCAAAACACATATTTTCATATATTTATTTATTTTTCATTTAATTGTATGTGATTTATTTCATTTAGAATTGCTCGACTCAATTTTTTTGCCATGCCTTTCACATTAATATTCCTTTCTTTTCTTGACGCTATGATTTATAAAAATATTGCACAAGTCCTTTATGTCAAGAAAAAAAAAGTTTAATTCATCTTACAAATCCATCTAGAAACATGTGATGAATCAATATAATTAGAAATGATTTGATAAAATTGGTAAAACTCTTATAAGATTTTTGAATATATACAATAAAATTCATGCTCATTCCATCTGAATTGTTTGTAAGGATAGCGTTTGAACCATCCTGCAGTACCGATCTCTACAATTCAAAAGTTGTTATGTAATATTTAAGAAAATATTTGAAGTTAACATAGTATTTTTTATTTTTTCAAACTCTCATAATGATATTATCAATTTAGTTTGAGAATTTGACATTAAATGACAAGTGGACTCATTAAATAGCATAAAACAATTAAGGTTTGTGGAATATAGTCATTCTTTTCATATATCACTCTTTTGTGTTCACTTTCTCATTAAATTTCATAGCCCATACCCATTATATATTTTAGGTTGCTAATTCGTACCTCATAGGTAGAAAGATCTTTCATTTTAAATTAATGTCTTAAATTTTCCTCATACATCTCCATCATTATCATATGCAAAATCGTTGTTTTGTAGTTTTTTTATTTATGCATTTGTATTTTGTCTCGATTGGACGATATTAGATTTTTCTGAATTTTTTTTAATGGATTTGAATATTGTTAATTTTGTGGGTGTTTGGAAATGATTGGAGGCGTATTCGAGCTAAACTTCATATTGAAAGTTCGAGTTTAATTAAGAGAGATCCATCTGTATATCCCTAATTATATCCCGTATATATTTCAATGTATATTTTTGTATAATATCACATTGTATGCCCATTTATCTCAAGCACATATTGATGAAAAATGAGTGTGTAATATTAATTGAGATACATGATATACTATGTGATATACACTTGTCACAAACACATCTATGAAATGTATGTGTGCTACAATTACACTGGTATCATAGAGGCATTTGTAGGTATGACTTTTTTTTACTTGAAACTACTCCTAATCACTTCTAATTTTTCTTAATTTTTGTTTTTTGCCTTGTCCAAATATTTTCAATCACAATCACTCACACCCATTCGATCTAAAAAATAGAGCAACTTTCACATATAGCAAACATAAAAATCATATTTGTATACTATAGCTATAGTTTGCATAATTGCGCTTTATATCAAACTTTATGTTTGCTATGACTATTAATATGTATATTTCGCTATACATATACAAAAGAAGCAATTGTATAATCTGTTTCGGTATACATATACAAAAGAATCAATTGTATAATCCGTGTTTGTATAAAGTGAGAAAGAGAGAAAGACAAAAGAAAACTGGGCAGGGGAAGATTTGTATTTGTATAATCATAAGTGTATAGGAAGAAAATATATTTTGCATATACAATTTTCTCTTGCTTTATACAAACGCAAACGCAATTTATACATTTGTGTTTGTATAAAGTGAGAGAGGCGAGAGTGGCGAGCGAGATCTGGGAGAGGGGAATGAAAAGAGAAGTATATATACAATTTTCTCTCGCTTTATACAAACACAAACACATTTTATACATTTATGTTTGTATAAAGTGAGAGAGGTGAGGAGAGACTGCCCAACGAGAAACGAGAGTGGCGAGCGAGAAAATCAAGGAGAGAGGCGAAATGGCAACAGTTAGCTACATGTTACAATTAAATCAAACTGTGGTTATATAATTTAATTTGAATTAATAGTATGTTATTTTATACAATATTCCCTAAAAAATAAGGAGGCGGATAGATTTTGATTTTGCTGACAAATTTAGCCCGTCGATTTCATTCAACCTCAATTCCATGATCCAAATCATTCTTCTTATTTTTATCCCTCGAACCTTCTTGGAGTTTTCATATTTTTACTCTCTTGGTGATCTAAACCCATAATTGTACGAGGAGGTGAGAGATGTTTACTATTCCAGTATGCATAAGATTCGGTTCTCAAGTAGACCGAAAGGCAACATTTATTGTTAGCAAAAGTGAAGATACAATTTATTATGAATCATTTCCTTTCTTGCAGCCCTAATTTAGTAAGTTACTTGGAAGTGTTAAACCATGAAAAAATTTATTGACTTTCATATATATAGCAATTAGAAAATATACCAATATTGATTAGGGTGAATTTTAATCGAAGTGAATAAATTTATTCATGGTCTCTTGTCTTCCATTTGTAATCCTATCTGATTTGGATAATATATGGATGGTGATAGTATATTTAAGAGGTATGGAGAAGAGTCGTAATATCAAATAGTCACATCAAGTCAATCATCATACTATCTTTTGCGTATCAATTTTATGTGTCTTTTTCCACTTCCCCTTAATTGTCTTCCAAAGCAATATCATGCTACTTACAAATGATGCTTTTCGTTCGTTTCAATTTGTTTTTCTTAATTTTATTCTTTACCTACTTTTAAAAAGTATATATCTTCTCTTTTTAATTCTAAGAAAAGTTTGATTGGGAAAATGCATGTCTAATTAAGAAATAAAGTATACATCCTCACTATAACAAAAAAATAGTTTTTAGCGGTAATAATATATACACATTAATAAAGAGTGTTAAATCCTTTTACCGGCATTAGTTAATTATATTGTCATTGGATCAAATGTCGCTATAGGCTATAGGAATGCTAGTTACTGCTAAAACAACATATTTAGCGGTAATTAAACTACTATTATTAATTAATTACCGCTAGAAGTTATTTTTGACTTAATGCTTTCGAACTTCTTGTGATCTTAGACATTTAAGTTGTAACATTCTTTTTATGATTACAAATCATGTTGAAGTATAAAAAGATCTCATTCTTTGAAAGAAACTAAAATGAACATAGAGACATATAAAATGAAATAGAAGATCAACGATATACTTTAGTCCATTGACTAATTAAGTTCAATTTGCGATATCAAAATCATAAAACCCCACAGAAATTTAAAACACATGCACAATTATTCTATATGTTGCATTGTGAGGTAATAAATCAAATACACCAACTTCTTTTGAAAATTGAGAGATTCATACGATTTGATAAGATATTGTGGTACTAGTACAATACAATAAAAACATGTTGGAAGTGGTAGAAAAAAAAACTATTTTTCATAATTAAGAGAAGGCACAATGCAATATTCATAGAATATTTTTAAGGGCATCTTTTTTTCTTTTTTCTTTTGTCTTATGCTTGACTTGCTAGGTAGTGATATCTTCTTGTCAACATCTTCACTAGTGCAGGTTCATATACCTCAAAAGCCTACTCAACAATTACAAAAGAAAAACAATTTAAAAAAAACCACAAAAGTAAACTATAAGTGCAAGACATTTTTAACATGCAGATGGCCTAGATCATAAACATCATACATTTTAAGCTAAGTTGATTAGAAATATGTTACTCAAATATATATATACTATAGTTAATCACTTTAGATTAAGAAAATATATAACTTTAGATACGATCTTGATTTTTGAAATGTAACTTAGGCGGCACACTTAGAGCTTTTGTATCAACTTTGTATTTAAACACGATTAATCTTCTAATTAAACACAATCAAGAAAATGCACACGTTTTAAAAAAAATGAAAAATAGTAAAAAATAAAAAAAGTACTCCTTAGAGTTGCAGTAATTGATTTTTATTTTTTATTTTAAAAAAAAGATACTAATAAAGATTGAAGGACTCTTAATTAGAATAAGGGTATAGGGTTACATGCAATAACTTCCAAACTAATGGCACCGCACCATGTCTGTTTTGTTAATTTATGAAATTTAAGATTTCTAAATTTCATTCATATCCAAACTGTTTGCATGACTCGAATCGACTAAAATACAAGAAAAGGTTGAAAAGAAAATATTAACTGAATACTACAAAAAGGCAAGAATATTACTTAGGTTTTTACAAAATAGACAAAAGTTAAAAATATGTAACTGTCTCATTCAAAAGTATATAGACTAGTAAAGTAAGGTTTAAGTATGTAATCGTTTCATTTCACATTTCAAAATGTTCAAGATCAAAGTATATATACTTTGCTATTCCTTTGAAACAAAAAATATCATATTTATTCACTCCATCCATTTGAATTTTAAATAATAACGGACAAAAGACTTAAAGAGAATGATTAAGAATACCTTTGTTGTTCATGGGTGTAAGTAGGAAGAGGAACACGTCCAGATTCAATGCGGCTGAGATCCTCAATAAGTATTTCATAGTGTCTCTTTACTTCATCGGCCGATTTTCCACCTCCAACCGCCCGCGCCACATTCTGCCACCGGTCAGGTGTGTCCTTATCGAATTGAGCTAGTGCCCTTTCAAATAACTTGTTTTGCTGCGGTGTCCATGATGAAGATTGAAGTGAGCTTGATGCCATTACTAAAAAAAAAAAGTTTAAGAAAGCGATATATTTTGTCCTAAAATTGTACTGTACTTAGTTGTGTGATGGAAAAAAGGATGGAGATTTGAGGTGTTTATAAAGAAAGAAATTGAAGAGGCCAGTTGAAAGAAGAATCTAAAATTTGGGTGACTCGTTTGCTTTGGAACCACAAAACCTACTGCTACGGAATCTCTCTTTCTCTTTCTTCTACGTACATACTAAGTTACGTTGTTTTTCAGTCGTAAAATCATTGTTGATTGTAGTAAATATTTGGTGTCATTCATATGCGGGCGGAGCTAGGTGGGGGTTCAGAATCTATTAACTTTCCGTACATTCTATATTTGTATTAGAAAATTTAATAAAATTGATTTATAACTCAGTAATAAGGAAGGACGTATTGCAATAAGCTCTAACAAGATTTCTCATTTTCTTTTTATAAGAAACATGTTTTGCAATATTTTTCTCTTCGCTCCTAAAATTTAGAATCCCAAACACCTGATCCTGGCTCTGGCGATCAACTCCTATACGAATGAATAAATCCAAGTAAAACAGCTATGGGGAATCGCGTTCTGATTCTCAGATGCATCCATACATTTGATCTTATGCACGTGTGTGGAGCCTCGCAAATTTCATTTAGACATATAAATTACGAATTGTAAATACATGATAAAATATTTTTATTACGAGTAAAAGACAAGGGATTGCATGGGTTTGGTTGTAATTACGTGTCAGACATAAGCCATTAATTAATCTTCTGTAGCAAGAAATGACCATTGGGATAATGGGTGTGGGTGGGTGAGAAAATTTAAATTTTACCATGAATTGATTTAAGTTGAAGAAAAAGACGAGAAAAATGAAGGATCCAATATTGTGTACTGGCAGAGTTTCAATTCATTAGTTTCTCTGATTTCATTGGAATTGATGTTTCGGTTCATTTCTGCGCCTCTTAGAAACGTTCCAAAAAATGGCCACCTGAATTAATGCATGCATCTTTTATTTTTATTTTACTTTCTGCCTCCACTTGCCACTACTAAATAACTAGCTTCCAACACTTGAATCTGGTGGCTAACTATTGTACGTAGAATCTGCTTTTCCTAACCCTAGGGGTGGGGGGTGGAGTAGTCAAAACTGAGTAACCATTCAATTTCAAGAGGATCGATGTTAAAAAAGATATAAAACTAAAAACAAATTTGTAAAAGACTACAAAATTAAATATCTTGTAAAATTAGAACATTTACTGTATGATACTCCCTCCGTCTCATTTTATATGTCTTTTCTTTCTATAAATAGTTGGACCATAATATTTGTCATTTTATAAAATTTATACATAAATTGTCATATTTTGCCTATTATACCCTTGATAGAGTAGTTAATTAATCTTGAAAATGTATTTATCATTTATTATAAAGTTGACTTAAGAAAACATTAAATAAGGATAGAAGGGTAAAGTTACATCTTTTTTTAATGCAAGTGCAAAGTAAAAATGTGACATATAAAATGGGACGGAGGAAGTAACACATAATGGTAGATGCAATATGATTGACTATCATGAGTTATTTCGTAATAAAACTAATTTAGATACTTGTGATATCTTAATTAATCACGGTGCGATTTTGGGGGGAATGTTTTAGAAGATTGAAAATCATAGTGCTTTTAATTATCTTAATTATATAAGCTTTGAAATAGGCAGGGGTGTCAAATGGGCGGGTTGGATTGAAATTGGAGATATTAAAATGGGTTGAAATAGAAATCGGGTTGGGTCTTGACCCACCCAAGTTTACCTTGGGCTCAAATGGGTTGGACTTAAATGGGCTAAAAAACGGGTTGGATCTTGACCCACCCAATTTGACCCGCTTAATCTCAATAATTTTAACATAGTGATATTTAATTTTTATACTCACAATTTGAATTTCAACTCAATTTTTTTAAAAAAAAAATTAACAAATGGATAGATAATAATTCATACCTTCAATATAGGAACATATCTTAATAAAGAATTTTAAAACGGGTTGAAATTGAAGATTGAATTAGGCTCAATTGAGGATTCTCTTAAAATGGGTTAGGCTTGAATGGGTTGAGATTGAACCTAATTCAAATTAACTTGAACCCAACCCTTAAAATTCTGGACGGATTACCTATGTTTGGGTTCATTTTTGACACCCCTAGAAACAAGTATAAGATATGATCATTAATCCATAGCTAATGGTTACATAGCTAATATCATTTTGGAGCTGAGATTATGCCTTTTTTTTTTAATTTCACGGATAGTCGTATCCCTTTTTTTTTATCATCGAAGCTGAGAAATATTTTTATTATATACCAAAGGCTGATAAAGGTCCTATAGTGGTTCCTTTTAGGTGTGCCTTAGGGAGCAGGGAAATCTTTAAAATTCAAAAGGCTTGTCATTCTCAATGGGTATTAGGACAATGATTTTGTGATGTAACATTCCTCAAAATAATGACAGGTCTAATTTTTTTGAACACACACTAAAATTCTTTTTATTTATTTTTTAATCAAGAAACTATCTACACAAGTTTATAATGTATATGCTACTCTTTAAAAATTGTGGTAGATAATTGAAAAGTCATAGTCCAATTCAACATGTTGCATTCTCATGATTAGGTATTCGATTTTGATCTTGATGTTTACTCATAATTACTCTACTACTTATGTACGATAAAGTGGTCCTATTTTTGTGTATTATATTAATATAAACTTTATTCAAGTTAATCACATTTTTCCTTTTAGAGACATCCTATAAAAACCAAAACAACATAGATAAATTAAATGACTTTCAATTTCAGAGGCATTCTATAAAACTGAACCGACATAGAGAAGATTATGACTCATACTTAAGCATGATCTCATATATGAAATTAGTCTAAGAAAAGAGATCTTAAATGATGTAAATATTTTCTATATTATTATTGGATAAAACTTAAATAAATTACAACTCTGATATTTTTTCTTGAATTAACCTTTTTTTTCTTTTTCAAGAATGTCATTTCTCCACCCATAAAGGTTGGACATAATTGACGTGGTCCATTTAGTGTCAATTGGAACTCCTTTTCCATAAAGTAGAACTTTGGAACAATTCCAAGATTTTGTGCCCTATACCTTTGTAATTGGTAATAAATGTATATGAAATTTTTTGGCAAAAGAATCATCGAGAAAATTAAGGGTAAATTTCATTGGTACGTAGCCATTCAGCTTGAGACACAAATCACAATGCCCCCTCCCCGGCATCAATATTCATCTTTTTCATAATTAAATGACTTTTATTAATAAAATATCAAAACAATTGTCATAAACTCAAATTAAGTTAAATGACCATCGATAAATTTTACCTGAAAAATTAATTTCATACCATCTTCTGACTTTTCAAGAGTGTAAGGTCCACTATAGCTAAAAATGAACCACGATGGTCCATGCCATTTGCAGTAAAAGTCATAGAAAGAATCTCTTAAGATAATACATATCATTATATTGACTATTCTTTCGTGACAATAACTAGTATAGACATAGGGTATGTTTGGTATGAATGAAATTGTTTTCTTCGAAAAATATTTTTATGAAAAATAAGTGCAGGTTTTCTTGCTTATTTTTTGATATTTTCCAAGTAAACATCGCATAGCTGGAACATTAGTGCATTGGATTATTCTTTCTAAGTTAACAAAAAATATTACTTAATAATATTTATAAATAATCTAGAAAAATACTCTATAAAGATATGGAAAGGTGGGGTGGGGATGTTGCAAGTGGAAAGGAAATCACAATGAGCATAGAATGCTATTTATGGAATTAATTTGTTTTTTTGGACTCCTAGTAGGGAAATCATTTTTCTTGATTTAAAAAAAATTCTTCTTCAAGAGAAAATTAATTTCAAATATTTTAACCAATCAAACATGAAAAAAATTAAAAATTATATTTTTATACAAAAAAACAAACACACTCATAGTATATACTTGCATATATTCTAAAAAAAAGTTTCATATCTTTACAATGTTTGAAAATTTTCAAAAATTAGATTCTTGAGTGAAAGTTGCATTTGCACCAATGATTGAAAGGTGAATATGTCCCCAAGTTCTATGTATTGGATGAATTAATATCATCATCCTATATTCTATCAAATTGGAAGGGAAAAAAAAAAAGTTGGTAAAAAAGAAACGAGTTTTTTTTGCACATCATACATTTGGAGATAAGTAGATAGACGTATCTCTTTCGTGTGCCAACCAAAGGGAATATGAATTTATCACCTAAAATTCTCTTTTTTTTCTTCTGTTGTTTTCATCTTTACTATGCAACTTGGACATTACATCCAAATAAATCATCATTGTTAGATCCAAAGAAAGCAACAAATTATATAATTTGCAATCATGGTCTTTAATGGCTCGGGACAAACTTATGGTCGAGTATGTCACTAGTCACTAGTCAACAATTAAAGATTTTATTTCATCAATCTGAAAATCGTCTCAGAAAATGTTAGATTATGATATATAATTTTATAAGTTATTCAAATGTTAGACAACAACTTATTATTTTCTATAAAATAGAGAAATATATCAGTGATTTATTTGCACAATTAAAATAAGAGCAAACTACATAAATCTCACTAGTTTAGGTCATAATTACTAGGATTCTCGATAGTTTCAAATATTACTTCTTATACCATATTTTGTTCTTTGGATACATGTATCATTACTTACCGGATACATGTATCCGATGGTTCAAATATTTGAGATACATATTTTATTAATTTTAAATTAAATATACGTAACTGATTTCTTTAATTAGAGTAGCAATTGATGCTTAATATCTTAGATACATGAAAAGAAAGAACTCTATACCAGATACATGATGATAATGTAACAACAGTAACAAACCTCTACATATATTATCTATTACCAAGATTCAATTTTGATAGTTGAAAATGAAAACGTAACTTAAGTGGACGAAGCAAGAGAGATGGTGAATCTAAGTGGTGGAGGACATGGGGG